GGTCCTTTTTATAAGGGGTGCCGCACTATTTTAGGCACCGCAAAGGGTATCGTCATCCTTAGGGTTTTTTGGCTTAGGGTTTTGGGTTTAGTATTTAGGGTTTAACATGTCACCAGAATGAAATGGCAGTTTCGGACAGCAAATGGCTCTACTACAAACCCTAAACCCTCAACCCTGCCCCCAAAATAGTACCAAGGGCTCTACTACAACCCCTAAACCCTAAACCCTGAATAATACCAAGGGCTCTACCAGAAACCCTAAAGCGTAAACTCTACCCCCCCCAAAAATAGAACCATCCCTTGATTGCTTGTATATTCTTCCAAATCTGGGACCGTTTAGTTCAATGAAGCCCCGTGCGATCCTTTGCAGGCCGGGGGGTTACAGGGCAATGAAGTTAGACTTACCTATAGTCTCCATTGTAGTTCCTTTTTGGCGGATACCTTATAAAGTCCTGAACATGTATTTGGTTAAACCAAAGAGGAACTACAATGGAGACTATAGGTAGGGTGTAAGAGTCTCTGAGATGAGGGCTGAGATTTTTGGGGATAATTTCAGGGTTAGTACAGGATTTCAGGGTCGCCGGGCCCAACATAAAAAGATCCACAGGAAGTCTAAGCATTGTTTGAAGCATCAAAGAAGACACGCAAACCTCACTCTTGCTCTGACCACTGGCCCTGACTGTAAACCGTGAATCCTAGAGTTCCCGAGCCCAACATTAAAGCCTACAGCGCCGGTGCCTTCGCCGACTGTTTCTTCATTTGATCACCTGCTGTGGCACCAACTAGCCGATAAGAAATTGTTACATCTGTGTGGCTATACATAAGATCAAACATTGTATGCATGCAGCATGTATGTAACTCTGAACAAACAGTCTTTATCAGCCTGAAAGTCTCCAGGATATAGAGGTTGTAGCATGATGTCGATGTGACAATCGGGGTGCCTACTTAGCTGGATTGTGCCAATATCATCTTGAGGGATCCTGTAAGAAGTGAGACCTTCAGAAAGCAAAAGGAATTTCAACTCGCAGGTCCTATCAAATCATAGAAATGAAATGCTCAAGGTTTCACAGAGACCTCTAACTACGCTGAAGAATCGAAATATTGATTGCAATAGGTCTAGCAACTCCAATGTAATTCCTGTCTTTGCCTACCTAGGTAGGCAGCTCCATTGCAAGGTCAGAGTTGTAAAACTGGCTAACCAAACAGAGAGCAGCTATTTTGAACTGTATACGTAGACTCGCTGCAGAGCACAGTCCTTGTCAAATTCGGTTTTCTGGATCAGCAACCAATCCTGAGTTCAACTCAGACGTAGCAACTTCGTAGCTTTGGGGTTTGATTTATCCTAGTTAATTTGTGAGGTCGTACCACAAGGTTTACAGACTCATGATACTATAGAAACCTTGTGTGGCAAGTTCACTTAAGCAAGTTAGGGTGCGGTTTTGGGTTCACTAAGCCCAAACCCTAAACCCTAAACCCTAAACCCTAAACCCTAAGAAGTATCATAAAGCTTTAGAGGCGTACTACGGTGAAAGGTTTACGGGTCAGGGTTTGGAGCTTTGGGACGGAAGCTGCATGTTGGGACTCGCCCCTGCTCAAAGCTCTTTAAAGGCTTCCTTTAGGGTTTTAGGGTTTAGGGTTTAGGGTTTAGGGTTTAAGGCTTCCTTTAGGGTTGTAGGGTTGAGCTCAAAGCTCTTGGAAGGCTTCCTTTCGGGTTTTAGGGTTGAGCTCAAAGCTCTTTAAAGGCTTCCTTTAGGGTTTTAGGGTTTAGGGTTTAGGGTTTAAGGTTTCCTTTAGGGTTTTAGGGTTGAGGGTTCAAGGTTTAAAGGCTTCCTTTAGGGTTTTAGGGTTTTAGGGTTTAGGGTTTAGGGTTTAAGGCTTCCTTTAGGGTTTTAGGGTTGAGGGTTTAAGGAATAAGGTGTGAGAATGAGTCTGCCGTAACTGGGCCGTAGCCGCCAAACCCTGCTTAGTTAGTCAATCAGACAAAGAAAAAAGTTTCATGAGAAAACCGAAACAACCCAAAACATTCAGGGTTCGTAAGGGCTGAGGTACAATTGGGGGATTTTGGATTCAACGGCTGCTCGACTTGCATATCCCGGCACTGCACAATGTGACAAGAGCGGGGTGGTGCAAGTGCCAAAACACAACCAGGACGCAGTCCTCAGCCCATTCAATTTGGTCACAAGCACAGAAAACCAGGGACAGTGTTGTCTGTGGTCACTGTAAGCCGTGCTTCTGCACATACTTGCGAAGCTGCACAGAACGACACTCCCCAAAATAACATCCTGAACAGCACGGCAAGGCACTATTTAAATTTTAAGCCCACCTAGCCTAGCCCAACGATAAATTTTGGAAGCCGGAACCTCCAAAGACTGTATACCTTGAAACCGACACCGCGCACCCTAAACCTTAGACGCTACAGCTTGCACCTTGAACCAAATGAAGCCCAAAGCCCGAATCTCGTAACTTGGGACCCTGAAGCCATCGTCGGCCATGTCATGCTCAGCGTGTGGCACTGGGTGTGAACCGCTTGTTGTCATCCATTTGCAACGTCATGGCCTGAGTCAGGGTTTAGGTTTAGGGGTTTAAGTAGGGTTTAGGGTTGACGAAAGATTTCCGATCTAGTGTTCGAGACATGAAGGGTTAAACTTTGGGAGTTAGGGCGTGGGATTCTGCAGCCATGTGGGATGTCACAGAAGGTGTCAATGGTGTGGGGACCTAGGCGGATGAAGTTGCATAATGGTACACCTTCGGAGCTGTCCCTTGCATATGGACATAGAGCAGATCACTTGAATCATTTGGCCTTGGCAAATCGCTCAGGCTGACAAGCTTGAACAACATGTCCACATGCACATTGCCAATCCCTATAACTCATCCAGCTGGATACGTGGAGCCTCTCTTCCCTTCCTGCATTGAATTCTCTTCCGGGGTTGGATGGACAACAGCAAGCCATGGACCCTGTTGGCAGCATCCAAATCACAGTAAACTAGCCGAAGGAATTCAAGCATGTGACCTTCCATCATCTTCCCAAGCACATCTGCCATTGAGGATGTCAGAATCCGCTCATCATGTATGGCATGGCAGCAAAAAGTCCCTTCGCCGGATTATTGTCACACGCTTGAAGGGCAAGCGGAGCTCAAATGTGAGGGTGATGACGAGGTGTTGCAGCAGGCTCAGTTCACCCAACTTTTGGATTGAAGCCTCCAAGGGGACTACCGCAGAAAGATTGATCAGCAAAGAATGCGAGCACTAAAGGCAAGGCCATACCTGCAAAGAGGAAGGAACATAGAGGTCGACGGGACAAACAAACAAATCCCATATTTTTATATGAGGATACCCCAAACCCTGCTCGAAATATTAGGGCCCCTTCTTTTACTGAACCCCTACCTAAACCCCAAATCCCGGAACCCTAACCCGAGCATTTGCACTGGGCTTCCTGTTGAAAGTTCTCTAACAACAGAGCTCGCGGCTTGAGGCTCAAGGTTTAGGATTTCGAGTCTAGGGTTTCGGTGTCGGGTTTAGGGTTTAGGGTGCAGTTCTGTTGTAGGATGCCGCAGTAGGATGGTAGGACTTGCAGTGCTTCGCCACTGCTGTGCTCATGCAATCCCAGGCACTAGTTGAGGTCGACGAGAGAACCAGCGAGCAGCCAATCTTCGGACAGGGTATACCTCGTAAGTGCCTAAGCTCTAAATCCTAAGCCCTAAACCCTAAACCTAAGGCTTCGTAGATCCGAAGAGCATGGATTCGAATGCCTATGCCATGCATGCCTCCTAGAGCATCCTCATGCTTGATTTGAGCTCCAGAGTGCGAAGGTGTGATCCTAGAACAGGTAGCATACAGCATACCTCACTACTTTCAGCAGCTTGGCAGCGCTCAGTGCCAGCTCATGTCGATAACTAAACGGCCCATGATCAACCCAAAACTCTACACTCGCAGGATAAACCTCCTGGCAGCCGACGACTGATAGGGTGCTGGTGTGCAGAAATCTGCTGTGAGCCGGAGGGACGCAAGCGCCAAGAATTGGTGGGGGTTTGCCTCTTAACTTAACTTACATCATACCCCTACCAGGCAGGTTCTATCAGGTTAACACGTTGGAACACTTGTCTTCGTTACGCTTTGGGGTATCCGGAAGGTTTAGGCGTTGAACCCTAGAAGTCCAGACAGCTGCAACAATCAAAACGTGGGGCATATAACAGCGGCCCTAAGACATTCACCCAGTATCTGGAACCTTTCGAACTTAAACAGGACCCACCATCAACTCAGGTTATTCCTCCTGAGTTGTGAGAACCCCCTTAATGTAGGTATGCTGGGTTTCCCATAATTTTTCTGCTTTCGACAGGAGGCCCGAACCTTTTGAGACTGTACGGTCTTCGATTTTCTGGCGTGGGCATTAGGGTAAGGGGGGGACCCTAAACCCTAAACCCTAAACACTGCGGGTGGCGGGGTCGTAGGGTCTTCAGTAGGGCTGGGAAGGTGGAGGATTGTGCAGGGTTTTAGGTTAGGGCTTAGGAGGCTTTAGGGCCTCAAGCTCTTAGGCCAAACAAGGCGACTAAGTGGCAAAGGCGGACCGAAACACGAGAAGCCCTATGAAGCAGCATCTTGGATCAAGTGCCCCTAGTCCCTAAAGCCAGACCATGCATCTTAAAGCAAGCCGCAAGCCCAAAAACCCTGATTGCCACAACCTGCAGCCATCTCAAACCTAAACCCTAAATGCCCCATTCACCCATTCTCTTGCACCGGCAATGTCCATTCCGCGCACACATCCTGCGTCGAGTGCCAGCGCCCTGGGCATCCCTGCCCAGAAGCCCGATACCGTCTGCTCCCTCTTCCAAACTTCGAGAACCTTCCGGGCGAAGGCAGTGCACCCTAAACACTAAACCCTAAAACTCTAAACCCGAGCACCACAGCCAGCTCCCGGTGGGCACCGTTGCGTGTGGGAACTTCAGCAAGGACCTGATCCATGAGCAGTGTTCCTCTGTCGGTGTCCGCATAGCACCAGGGGTGTCCAACGCGCTCCGCAGGCTCGTCTTGCTCAACTTGGGAACCCAAACTGTAAACCCTAAACCCTAAAAAGTTTTTAGGGTTTAGGGTCTTGAGAACCTAAACTGTAAACCCTAAACCCTAAAAAGTTTTTAGGGTTTAGGGTTGACTGAGCCTCAAGCTCTTCTGACCATAACGCCCCAGCCGGGCTTCAGAATCCCTAGGGGCTGTTGGGGGGTTGGGGGGTGAGGGGTTGTTCCTCGATCTCCCTTCTGAGGGTGTTTAAACTTAATATTGATGTAGGTGCCTTAATAATGAGACTAGGGTTTTGGGGTATACGATACTACTACAATTATGCAATCGAACCCCAAAATCGTATATTGGTAACTAATTATTTAGGGCTCTATATGTTACTTCTTTTGTGACTCCGCGTGGCATTCCTCACAGCGCCACAGTCTTTTTCTCCTGTCCTCATGCGGCTTTCGCTGCAAAGTGACTCCTTCAAGGAATGCGGCGTCGGAGGGCGTGGGGTTCGACGGTCCAGGGCTTACGGTTTATAGGGTTTACGGTTTAGGGTCTTGGGTTCAGGGTTTGGGGCTTTGGGTTTAGGGTTCCGATCCCGGGTGCGCTTTACCTTCTTCGAAACCACAGCTGCGCACAGCATGGAGGTGCCCAGGAAATCCTAGAGGTTTTCAGGCACTAAGAGTCTATGGTGTTCCGGTAATGTAGGTGTAAAGATACAAAGGAATCCTAAACTTGTTGGTACTTATTTGTATCATCCT